CCTTCAGTAACAGTAATAAATCACAGCAATATTACATTCACGTAGTTGTAAACAGCATGATAATATATTAAGTAATCCAAAGTATTCAGAATACGTTACTGTCATTGAGTAACATAACGGAATACGTTACAGAATACATTTTGGGGCATGTATTCTGTAATACATTTTAAAAGTAACCTTTCCAACACTGGATGTAACCTGTTTGTGTATTACACCTGTCGATGGATTGTGTTCTGGCATGTAAATAAGAGGTAGGAGACAACACTGGATCCTTGGGTTCTATACTGCAACATCTGCAACACATAGAAATACAGGTCTGTGGAGTATGTGTGTCACACACCTGCTAGGGTACCTCTCCTCCAGCCATGGTGAAAGGAGCTGTTTCCTGCAGCCTAATCAATTCCACAATAATATAATAAACCAAATGCAATAAATTGTTTTAAAATATTAACTTAAGCTCTCAAAAAAACAACAAAAGCACAAAATAATAAATATATCACTGTTGAATAGCCAAAAACCACTTGAAGGAAAAAATACACAAAACAATACATCAATCAGACAAGCAAATATAACCCAAAAACCAGGACCCAACATTTTGGTGCTTATAATTCAAACATTAAACTCAAATACAATCATATTAAGAAACGCCATTCAACAGGCAATACAACACTGTACCACAAACACAATCAATGAAAAACCACATTCCCGGAACAAAAAACCATCTCGATACCTGCAACACATAGAAATTCAGGTCTGTGATCTGTGTGTCACGCGCCTGCTAGGACACCTCTCCTGACAGAACACAGTGCATGCCGTTAACAAAATACGGCAGCGATTCCTTTCAGCTCCTGCTAGTGATCAGGCTAACTTAGCATGCAAGTACTACAGCTGCATCCTTGGTCTAAAACTTATTAAAAACTTGTATTAGTGAACTCAGCCTCCTACCAAAATTACACCAAATGAGTCTGTTAACAAGTGACCAAAACGCAGCAGTTCGGGTATATTCAAATTGCAGCTTGAGGCCTTAGGGAACTTTTGTTAGCTCAAAGCAACGTGACAATGGCAATGCTGAAAGGAGCCGTGACCGGGGCACACATGCATGTGCCTACGTTATCACGCAGCACATAACCACACAACACACACAGACATAGGCAGGATGTTTTGGTGAAATTCAGAAGTATTTAACACATATGCTACATTCACCCCCCGAATTTCACCAAAATCACTACACATCTGAATGTTACTACAGAAGAACCTGGCACCTCAATGCCAGAAGGTTTGCTGCTGCTGTTGTGATGATAAATGCAGTGAAACTGGCCACTCATTGACAGGACGCTTGCTGCTTCATTGCAAATCAGGGATACAGAAAGAGGCAGACATCTCGGTGCCGGAAGTTTGGTACTAGAAAATCTTGATGCTGCGTAGCGAATGGGGGATGAAGGAAAACCTGACAGCCCAGTGCAATCCCCCCCCCCTCTGGCAAATACGTTGGGTTCCGTGTCGGGCTCATAGCCGAAAACTAGCTTTACTTTGTTGTCTGGGCCAAATTGCTAGCGAGAGAAAGAGAGAGGCATTCCAATGGAACTTATTGTTTCGGAGGAAAACACGAAAAAAGTGTACAGCTGGGTCTTAATAGCTTACTTACAACTGGGCTCGTCAGGCACTCTTTTTGGCTTTAGTGGTTATTATTATATTTGCATGCTTCCAGCTCCCGTTTCTGCTCAATGACAACTCATACTTTTCCTTTTTCTCCCTCCTCGCGCTCACAGACACATAACGGGTATGGCAGTCCATTCTCCCTGCAGCATGGACTACACTGCCCATGAGGCTACATTCTTTAGGGCAATGCCTGTAACACTCTGCCTATTGCCTTCATATTAAATCATTTTTGTGAATATTTTTTTTAAATATTTCTTCACGTCATTATGCAGGCCGCAAGTAGAAGTGACATGGGCCGTGAGATTGAGACATAGCTATTAGAGCCTTTAATGCGTGTTTTCTTTGGGGCGTGGAAACCAAAAATAGAGAGGGCATAGCTGAACATATGAAACAGGAAAATACCACAGTGTAATCCCTTTATTTCAGCAAAGTAACTGTATTCTGAATACCACCTTACCACCTGTAATGGAATACAGTTATTCATATTTTGTATTTTAAATACGTAACGGCAGTACATGTATTCCGTTACTCCCCAACACTGATGGTGTTTAAAGGCAGGTGCGCGAAGATGAGCTTGTCCCTCCTACCTGGTGTTGACAGGTGTGTGGAGCTACGAAGTACGCTGTAGCTTTGCTGTTGGAGTTGCAATTTGCTTCTGCACATAAAACATTTGGATGTGTGGGGACAAGAAGCAGTTGACCCAGGCTACGGTCCAGTCTGAATCTTTAGCGAAAGAATATTCTTGGGATATTAGGTACGGTTCTTCAGACATCTTTAGGAGGTTTAGTTGTCTTAAGTTGTTCACTCACAATCTTGTCTTAATTCCTGGAGTCTTGTTCTTCCTTTCTAAAGCATTCTATTTTAGCCAGAAGAATGTTAGTACATCTTCTTATGTTGGTAATCCAAGCTCATACCTTATATCTCATCTTCAGTGCAGAGATCTGATTTTTACATTTATGACGTGGCTCCTGTAATTGTAGAGAAAAAATAAGCCATCAGAAAAACCATCGAGTATGGAGAAAAAACTCAACTGAAATTGTTTCTTCTCAGAAGTAATGTATTATTATAACTGGATTCAGTGGTTCTGGAAGGCTACTGTAACAATCTTTCACACAGAAATACATTTTGCTTCTTGCTTTTCCTTTGGTGTTTTCTGACAGCAATCATTGTTAAATTAATTTGGCATTTCAGATCATCTTGTCTGTGAAGGTTCTCAGTCATCCAGGTCATCGTAGTCAAAGGAGCTTGCAAAGAAAAGTGTCTGGACTTCTTTAAGTTACTTGAAGACGTTTCACCTCTCATCCGAGAAGCTTCTTCAGTTCTAAGGTCAAATGATGGAGAGTCCCAGATATAAACCTAGTGGGAGTAACCCCCCCACAGATGGTTTGAAAGAGGAGTGAAAGAAGCCATCTATGTCCACTGTGAGCGACCATCTTTGAACAGAGGCGGGTGTTTACGACACCAACTCTCTGCCATCTATAATCCAGTTTTGAGATCCCTTCCCAGACGCCTTAACGCCCACTCACATCCTGGGCCATCTGATCTCAGGAATTCGCATGTTAAGGTGGGGCCAGGTTTCACAATGAACTCACCCGAAACTCCAGTTTCACACCTTGGCTCAGGCGATTAGAGGATCATCAGGGGGTCCTTTTGTCCCTCTGTGGGGGGTTACTCCCACTAGGTTTATATCTGGGACTCTCCACCATTTGACCTTAGAACTGAAGAAGCTTCTCGGGTGAGAGGTGAAACGTCTTCAAGTAACTTAAAGAAGTCCAGACGCTTTTCTTTGCAAGCTCCTTTGACTTCAGATCATCTTCTTCAAATGCACCTTTTAACTGGGGGGCTCTTTTATATCATTAATGTTTGTAATCCAGCATTATATATTATGTTAAATAGGTAATGAGTAGAGCAGGGCGATATGACCAAAAATATTTATTATGATATACATTTGAAAATTTGTGATAATGATATAACTGACGATATAATTGACACTAGACAAATACTTTACAACTCCACAACTTTATTAGTGCAAAAAAAAAAAAAATCAATGTATTTTCACTTAAACAAGCAGCTGTTTATTATGTGCATTAAAGTTATATAAAAATTTAACAGTGCAAATGTAAATTCCTTGCTGACAGTTTAACAAAAAGGCATTTCTAGTGGAAAATGGCTATATCCTCTACATAACCATGTATAATATCCACAAAACTTATATACACACAATACGGTAGTGGTGGGCGGATCGATCCAAATATCGATAGTACCGATACCAAGTCGGCATCGGTATTGGATTGATACTAGCCTAGTGAGATTGATTATTTACTTTGAGTTCTGCTCGTTTTCGGCAAAGACGAAACAGCCACGTCGCTGGACTTGCCGCTCCTGTGAATTTGTTTACATATTAATTATATTTTTACCAGTTTTTGTTGTTGAGAATTTTAATTGTAATTTTTGTATTATAGTTTATCAACAGTATGTGTTTTAATTTATTTTACTGGTTTGCGTGCACTTAGGATTTTTCAAAAAAAAAAAAAAGATCGCCACCACGCCAGACCCAATGGCATTTTCATGCTGCTTCGTAGCATCATTTATTCTTAAAATAATCGTTTCTGTAACAGTAAATTCAACGGCTGCAGCTCTCCCACTGCCAGCCGTACACATCACCACCACCAAAACTGCAGCGGCATCACAGCATCTGCCATGTGTGTATGAAAACAAAGGCACTGCGCATGCGTGTTTTACCCATATTCTATCGCGATATTTCATTTTCTTATCGTTGCCCATCGTTATACCGGTATTACCGTGAACGGTATGATATTGCCCAGCCCTAGTAATGAGTGTAATAATGTGAAAACAAAGATGTATCTTGCTGTAATTTTTGATGGTGTGGATTTCCACTATCATATTCCAGAACCGGGTTCTGTAATTTATGCATCAGCATGAGACGACTTTATTTTCAATCATGATCAAAGTTTGTTTTCAGAAGTAGAAGCTAAAGGGGTGCTGTTCTTAAGGACCGAGTGCTGCCCTTCAGCAGATGTCCTGAAACTGGCCAGTCTAGTCTGGCAAGGCTAGTGACATTAAAAGGAAAGAAGCTCAAGTTGCTTGCTTCATATAGAGAATTAAATGAGAGAAATGGTCCAAGACGGGACAAATAGGACTTATTTTGGCCTGAATATACACAGATATTAAAATCTTCCCTGTTTTCCTTTTAGATATGTTGGTATAATTGTGTTATTTTATAATGTTTTTATGTTGGTATAATTGTGTTATTTTATAATGTTTTTATTTTTTCCAGACACAATTTTTAAGTTTATTTATTTTTGTTTGTTTGCTTTTAGATTGAGCAGCTGTAACCTCTCAGGTAGAGTCTGTGAAGATTTGTTGTCAGTTCTCAGCTCCCAGTCATCTAGTCTGAGAGAGATGGACCTGAGTACCAACAGCCTGAAAGATTCAGGAGTAATAAAGCTGTCTGCTGCAGTGGATAGTCGACACTCTAAACTCGAAATTCTCAGGTCAGATCAAGTGCTTGTTGTAGTTTCTTATTATTTTTCATTATTTATAAAATTTCAAGACAACCTGTTAAACAAAAGGCAATAAAAATTATTTAAAATTTTGGATTAATCATTGCTAATTATTGATTTTTCATGTTTTTTTTTTAATTTCCAGACTGAGTGTGTGTAACCTTCCCAAGAAATGCTGTGAATCTTTGTCTTCAGTTCTCAGCTCTCAATCTTCAAGTCTGAAAGAGCTGGACCTGAGTATCAACCACCTGCAGGATCCAGGACTGCAACTTCTATCTACTGGACTGCAAAGTCTAAATTGTAAACTGAATACGCTGAGGTCAGGTTGAGGTCAAATTATATTTGTTTGTTTAATTAACAAATCAAATATCTAGCCAATAAATGTCAAGCCCATCTATATGTTGTTTTATCAAAGTAGGGCATTAAAGAATTCTGAAAAAAAGAATATCGCTTAATCTAATAGTTCCTCACCGCACCCTTGTTACAATTTAACAAGGGCATTTCTTTTAATGGTCATATTATTTTTTTCAGACTAAGTCAATGCACCTTCTCAGAGAGAAGCTCTGAAGCTCTTTCCTTGGTTATCAGCTCCCAATCCTCTAGCCTGAGAGAGTTGGACCTGAGTAACTCTGACCTGCAGGATTCAGGAGTGAAGCATTTATTTGTTGGACTGGAAAGTCTAAACTGTAAACTGGAAATTCTCAGGTCAGTTTAAAAAATTTCCATCAAAGATCATTGAACACATTATGTTTATAACTGAATCAATAGATCATCTTTATAGAAGATGGATCGTCAGCTTTGCCTTTGGATGGATTATTACCTTCTAAATTACTGTCTTATATTTTTTCATGGTGGAACTTTTTCATAATTTCTTCTGCTCTTTTTGAAATTTAGTGCAGTTTTGCTTCCATAACATACCAAGTTCCTAAGAAAATGTTGGAATGATATGTTTAAGTGTTGGTTACTGTCCATGTTTCTTTATATTATTGAGACTATGTGGAGTGTAAATGAAATAAGGACCTAGTTTTAGTAAAACTAAAAGTGACTCATTTATTTGGCTGGAAGAAGGTGTGATAGAGGGACCCAAATGCACACAGTGTTGCAATGCAAGTCAATGTTTTGTTCAGAGATTTTCAGTGTTCAACTTTTCAACTGTCATCTCAGCCCAGTACCACACACTCTTCTTCCTCTGGAACAGCAGCAACTGGAATAGGGAAGACATGTTTACTGTGATGGATATCCGCTGTGCCAGCCAGCTTTCCCTGGCACTGTCCCCTGAACCTGCTGCTTCACCACTCCCATGCAGCCACAGCAGGCGATTTAAAACATAAACTACAAAGAGAGAAACTGAAAACTACAAACTTATTGAAAACTGAAAACATGCTAGGCCTGAAAACACTGCCTATGGGAAACACTGGGTCAGGGAGAACAGAACTCCCACAAAATACCCTAACCCTAACCCCTAACCCTATCCTTCAAGCCCAGTCCTCTACCAGAGGCCTGGGAGCTTGCGGGTTCTACACAGTATCTTAGCTGTTCCTTGGACTGTGTTCTTCTCGACAGATATCTCCAATTTTGTTGCTGGTATCTCCACTTCCTAGTGCTCCGATTACTACTGGCCTGCTAGAATCTTGGACCCTTGTCTCAGGGGCATCTTTACACAGCCTGCACCTGGGATCTTGCCTAGTGTGACAGACCCCAGCCTCTATGGATCTTGTACTCAGAGCTTGTTCCTGTGCTGCCATGATTAGTGCCTCTGTGCTGTCTTTCAGTCCAGCTTTATCTAGCCACTGTTAGGATTTCTGGATGTCTGTCAGTTCCTCTATCTGCCCATGGTAAATACCATATCATACAGGCGCCTGTAGTTCCATGATGGTTCTTCCTCTTCCTCCTCTTTCTTGAGTTTTTGATAGAGTTGGATGTCTCGAGACCACTTTTACGTGGTCTTGGTCTCGTCTTGGTCTCGACGGACTTTTGTCTTGGTCTCGGTCTCGACGGACTTTTGTCTTGGTCTCGCTGTTTCGGTCCTGCGTTCTCAAATCGACATAGTGTTTGGGAGATTTGGAGTCAACCATCAGCGGAGCGGGGGGTGGCTGGCTTACTGGGCTTAAGCCCGGGTCATTTTTTTCAGAAGCATGGGATCTTTTGGAGTGTAATTTTTTAGTTAGATGCCTGACTGACAACTGTATAAAACAAAAACAGCACACGAAGCACAGAGCGCACCGTCATAAATTCCCCCTAATTTTGGTATGATCCGAGCTCAGGCACTAGGTGACTGAGCACAGCACCCATGTGAGCGAGGGGGGAGAAGCTGCTGCCTGCGAGTTTGCTGCAGACAGAGGAGAGCTTAAGTTTGACCAGGTATCAAAGAAAATCATTCGTACTGAACTAATAATGTAAATATGACGGTGTATCACAAAAGATTGATATCAAACTGATCACTTGGTTGCGTTACTTGCTCTTCGAGTGAATCAACAAATGGATAAATAAAAAGCCGAACAGCAATGCTGATTTTTTAGAGAGTCTTAGCTTACATTTCATATTTTCAGTTGTTACCCTCCACGGCTAAACAAACTCTCTAAATCGGTTTCAATTGTGTACTGATGTACACAACAATGGACATAAGGAGCTTCTTTCAAAGAAAAAACTCAGGTAGATGTTATTTTATATATTATGCTTTGGATGTTGTTCAGTATATCTATGCAAAACAAGAGGAATTTCAATACACAGCAGTATATTCACAGCTGAAACCAGATATTTACATACACTTTATGGAGAAAACATAAACTTTTTTTTACTGTTAAACATCAATTTAGAGTAAACTTTTGTTTTAGATAAATAAATGTTGAAATATCTTTTGAATTAGTTAAATGTCAGAATAAAAAGAGGAGCTGTCTATTTTAATCACTTTGATCAAATGTAGGAGCACATGTACACTAAGTTTATTGTTAATTAATAAGAAACTCCAGACGATTCGATTCTGAGCTGAAGAAGCTTCTGATAGGTTAGTAGAGTCCATGTGAGTAAACTGGTGGCACACCTGTGGATGCATATAAGGCAAAACACAGAGCCTGTTTCTGTGACATGGGAAAATCAAGAGATGTCAACCAAAACACCAGGAAAAGAACTGTGGAGCTCCATAAGTGTGGCTCAATTTTGAATACAATTTGGTGCCATTTGCAATTAAGAAATACAGACAGTTTCTCTCTTTACTCTTAAAGTTAACAAATATGTTTTTTATATTTATCAATCTAAAAAAATAAACATTTAGTCTGATTTGATGTTACAATTAAAAAGTGTTTTTATCTGAAGAGTTTGTAAATATCTGGTTTCAACTGTATATTTGATGATTGTCAGCACAAAGAGGGAGAGAGAGGAACAGAGAGGGAGAGAGAGAGGAGCAGAGAGGGAGAGAGAGAATGAGGACAGAACAGAGATGAACAAGAGCAGGTGAGACACACATGTTAGTCAAATGGTTGTTTGCCAAAACTCATCAGAACATGTGCCTAGTGTTTCTTTTTAGATACCATTTGTTCCTTTTCAAATTCTATATTTATTAAGTTATGCAGGCTTGTTTGCACAACAAGGCTAAATAATTATATAATCTTTTCTCAATCTAAATATTGTACTTTGGTAGAATTAAAAAATAAGTGTAGTGCAGGTCTATGATGATTTTTAGTGCTACTATCATCTAGTTCTGATTCTGGTTCTGTCTTGGTTACTGTTGTAGTCCTGTTTTAATTCCGGATCAGTTCTGGGTCTGGTTGAATTGGGGTTTAGTCCTCGTGTCTCGATACAGGCCCGACTTTCTTCTGCCTTGCTGCTTAATTAAAAAACTAGTTTAAGGTGTCCTGCATATGTATATAGAATAGCATCTGGCTGCAGTTTAAAGACTTTTTTTGTCTCGGTCTTGGTCTCGTCTCAACTTGGTCTTGGTCTTGGTCTCGATACCCTCTGGTCTTGGTCTCGGTCTTGGTCTCGATACCCTCTGGTCTTGGTCTTGTCTTGGTCTCGGATTAGGCGGTCTTGACTACAAGTCTAGTTTCTGATGCCTGAGGTATTCACTGAGCATTCAGCTGGGATAATCTTCCTGATGTATTCGTGAATGGTCATTGTCTCATCCTGGATGGTAATACTGACACTCACCAATCCCCAACCTCTTTCCTTCTGCTTAGCGTACAGCCTCAGGGTGTGGATTTGAGGTGAAATCCTCCATGCATGCAGTTGTTTCTATTGTTTCCTTTGGCTACCTTATTATCCTAGCAGGGTACCTGATCATGCGTAGGTGTTGATAGCCCATATATTGTTCTTAACGTTCACCTGACTCCTCAGGACTTGCCTTACTCTCTGCAGGTAATTGTTGGTAGCAGCCTCTTCATAGTTCCCATTTGCCTGTGGGATCCCCAGGTACTTGCAACTGTCCTCTTTATCTGCAATTTTGCCTTCTGGTAGTTAAATCCCCTCAGTTCTGACTACCTTCCGTCTCTTTGTTATCATCGGACTACATTTCTCCAGTCCGAACGACATTCCAATGTCATTTCTGTATATCCTTTTTAATATGGATCAGTGAATTGATGTCTCATCCACTCTTGGCAGACAACTGCTCCATTCTGTAGTCAGTATCCGTAGCCAGTCTTGTCAATGATCTTACTGAGGGGGTTCAGGCCTATGTAGAACAGCAGCAGGGACGGATTGTTGTCTGCCACATTCCCATTGAGTTCATGATGAAGGCTCTTAGGTCCTGTTGGTCTTGTATAGGTCTAGGCATTATAGGATCCAGGTATGAAGCATTGAGTCATAGGCCTTCTTGTAATCAAATCATGTAGTTCACAGTTTGGTCAGCCTGGTCTTGCAGTCTCGTTTGATTGCACGGTCTACCAGTAGCTGGTGTTTTCCTCGTCTGTTATTAGTCTTAGTCTACAGTCTCCTTCTCCATGGAGGGTGCTGCTTTGTGGATGATGATATATTCTCACACTGATCCTGCATGGTGATGCTACCATCCACCCACTCCTCCTGGATTCACATCTTCATCATCATCTTTATCAATCCTCACAATATTCCACCTTCATCCGCTTCATGTTCAGGTGCCTAATTTTCTCCATGGGTTATGGTGGGACGTTGAGTGCTGAAGTCAAACAGATCTCAGAAATTAAAGACTGATTCATTTATATTTTGTATTATGAGAAGCAGCTAGCTTATCCATTATTCTCCTTATAGGCTCGGGCTATTCATAGATTTGCTATGATACTCTGAGCATTTTTTCTGTTTTCACTCGTAATGCTTTTTATATGCATATCCTTAACTTTTGTCCTCTCTGTCCACAGTTTGTCTTTTGTTCTTTTCTCTTCGTGCACATCCCCCTGTGCCCACCTCCCACCCAAACAGCCATGTTAAATGGCTAGTCTTGATCCCCAATGCTACAAAGTGCTCCTCACACTGATGGTCTTATTGATGGGGCTTTCTTGCTGATATTTCATAGCAAGTTATGTTGTACAGTAAGTTAACTTGCGCTGCCTAATTCGTTTTTCTTTTTAGTTGTAAGTACAGTTAAATTAAATCAAACAGATGGTTAGATGTTATTGTTTCTAACAAACAGAAAGTCATTGGTTACAGATGGATTGTTGTTTTGTGTGTCTGCAGTCTGTCAGGCTGTCTGATCACAGAGGAAGGCTGTACTTCTCTGGCCTCAGCTCTGAGCTCCAACCCTTCCCATCTGAGAGAGTTGGACCTGAGCTACAATCATCCAGGAGCCTCAGGAATGAAGCTGCTGTTGGCTGGACTTAAGGATCCACGCTGGAGACTGGACACTCTTAGGTATGGAGAGAATGTCTGTTTGAGAAGGAAGAGCTGCATACATTTCAAGTGCAAAGGGAAAGCCCTTCTCTGAATTGAGGAGGGGACCTAAGAGTACATCTTTCACCATCTTAGAAAGCTGTGATTGCAGCCATTCCCCAACTCTCTGGGAATGGTACTCATGGCCATTGATTACTGATCAATGGTTGTTGATCAATAGTCATGATAATTTGCATAATAATGATAATGGAACTGACCTTATAGCCCATTGTTCATTCAATGGTGCTAGTTTCAGTTATTGTGCAAATGTACTGTTTATAAGTTTGGGGAAACCTGCAGTTACTGAAGAAGTTACTTGAATGAGTGACAAACATTTTCTCCCACTAACAACACTACGTTCAGATGTACAGAATCAACTTTTTGGGATTTCCTACATTCTTCATTCACTTTCTGTTTGTTTCATGCAGATGTAACATGAACAATCACACATGTAGGAACAGTTTTTCTTTGTTCACAGCATAAACTGTAGTCTAGTTGAACAATGAAGAGATAAATATGTAGCAATTTCCGAGGAGAACTTTTCCAGGAACAATAATAAATGTCTTTTGCTCATATTTTTTTCACCATTTGGATAGATTGCTTTATGTTTAACAATGCACTGCTAAATTATTTTTCTCTGTCTCACCCTGATTCATATCAAATTAATCTCTGCATAAAAATGTACTAAAGACACATTCATGCGGGCCTCATTCTCTGACTCCCCGGGCTCTTGCCACCTCACCGCTGCATCATGCAGCTTCCGGCCTAGAAGATCTTACTTAGAGCTCAGTAGCAGACACGGTGGCAGATTCAGGGCCGCCATCTGGGGCTTCCCTGACAGCAGTGGCAACAGTTGTGGTGCCCACTCTGCCGCTGACACACCTCAGCAGTGGCCTTAAAGGTCTCCAGGAAGACCTGGGAGTCATCTCCCTCCCCTATCCTGTGCAGCGACACCGACAGTGGATGGGGGATGGTGATGCTGTAGCCCCGACCTGCCACTTCTGCTACTGCCAATCACATGCGCCTGAAGTTTTGCCAGGTGCTTCTGCTGCACCACAGCCTGATTATTGTTCATTGCCACCATGTAATATGCAGCAGCCACGTCATCAAGTGGAAACACTGTCCATGTTTATTTTCCACTTTGATTGCCATGACACACACTACTGGCAGCCTCTTCATTGTTTTCTGGCTTGGCACCCAAGCATGCAGCTTTCCAGCTGCACTCTGACACTCTCCAGTCTCAACTCCAACTTAACTAAAAATCACAATGTATTGTCATGGTGGCCCTGTGGCTGACAAACATATCCCACATAGCAAAATTGGTATGGCCCACACACCGCAAAGAATGACGGCCCTTTGGTGGCCCAGATCTGGTTTTCCAGAGGTGGCCCACACATGAGCCAGCACAAGGCCAGTTGCAGACACACTGGTGGTCCTGTGCTGGCCCATGTGTGGATTAACTCTGGCAAAGGAAACTCTGTTCAGACAGTGAATGGACTGATTCTTATATAGCGCTCCTCTACTTTCCCGGATTACTCAAAATGCTCTATACAACATGCCACATTCATGCAATCAAACACTTTCTTTGAACTGAATGCCACATCAACCAAAACCACAATCGGGACAGATATGGCATGCCATCGCATAAACAGATCTGGCCCACATCTGGCTGCCATACAGTCTGCCATGACACTAGTCAGTCAGTCAGTCAGAAGTGACAGCTTAATGCCACATCTGGCCAGACATCTTTTCTATGAGCCTGGGCAACATAACCCAAAACATATGCCATCACATAGACAGTGCCATCTATGCCAGCCCTGGCCCATATCTGGATGACATACCACTTACCGTGCCAGAAGTCAGTCAGCAGTGCCGGCTTGATACCAGATCCGGGCCAGACCTGCTTGCTATGTAGGGATTGTTCTTCAGCATATTGCATAACCAAAGATAAATGAGGCCCTGTTTCTCTAAAATGATGTCACTGCCTTATTTTTTATTTGAGCTGTCTTAGCCTGGTGAGACTCAGGCTAAAATATGTGGGTTGACGCTGACAGTGGGGATAACTTTTCAAGTAACCTTCGAAAGCTCCAAATTACCACGAAATTCATGCTTATAATAAATGCATGTAAGCTTCTGACCACAAATTTAAGAACAGCTGAAATTTTTTGAATTTTTGTAATATTATTCATGTTCAAACAGATGAGCTCACATGTAACCCACCCTCAAATATCTCAAATATGATCTAATCTCCTGAACTGTAAAAACGTGATTAAATAAAACAATTTTTGAACAAACTTGTTCAACACACTTGAGTAACATGGATTTTTCTTTGAAGATGAATTCCATTACTTTAGTATACAACAAATCATTAAATTTCATAATAAATTGTTGTTTCAGATTTGGTTCATACTTATGTGAAGTATAAATGCCTAGAAATGTATCATACTTCTTAAAATATTTTGAATTGAAACTACATTTGAAAATATTAAAATCCAAGTACAAAAATGAGAAGCTTTTCAATGGGAGCAAAAATTGATAGGCGAACATTTTACTGTCTCACACATTGTTTTGGGGTTCTATGTAGAGAAAATGTCGGACTGTTCCTTTTAGAGATGGCACGATACCACTTTGTTATGATACCGATACCTATATCATGAATTTGGATATCTGCTGATACCGATATGAATCCGATATAGTGTGTTTTTTAATAAATACTGTTTTTTTTATATCTTGCTGCATTTTGTATAAGTTCATACTTAAGTTTAAATAAACAACAACAATAAAGCTATTCTATTAAACCTGTATGTAAAAAAATGCACTGTGCACAAAATATTTCATAGTTCAGCAACACTGATCAATCTAATAAACTTAAACCTGCACCATCCTCCATATTCTGGTATTTTAAAGAGTACTTAGCAGAAATATTAAGCAACATAACTAATGGGGTTGCAAACTCCCAGCAAAAGAAAAAATAGGGAACCACCCCCCACCTCATGATTCTTAATCGACGTAATCAACTTTAATTTGATGCAATGTGAAAAAAAATACACAGAAATAAATTATTTTTCCACAATAATTAAATAGATTCAACATCTTTCTTCAACAGAATTGCAGAATTCACAGATGGTACTTTCCCAAAGGAAAAAGTACTATAGCTTACTAGGGTATATTAGACTTAACAGTTACTATACACAGTAATGGACTTCTATACATTTTAAATCAGATGTAAAATGGGTGTAAGATTCAGATAATTATTTATTAAAAGCTAGACGCATACTGCTCCGACGTGCTACGGTTATGAGCCGAGTTACACTGTGTTGCAAGTTTTGTGAGGTGTTTTCATGATATTTAATGGATCGGATTACATTTTTTATTTATTTATATTTATTTATAACCGATCCAGTAATTTAGGTCAGTATCGGACCGATACCGATACGTGATATCGGATCGGTCCATCTCTAGTTCCTTTATCAGTGTCTAACAGTATGTGGATGCGAGCCATGTAATGTCCATGTGTGCATGCTGAAAGAGACTGTGCTTGTCTGACGCCCTCCTCTTTTCAGGTTGGAGCCTGCTGGAGTCCGATGGTTGACACCAGGTCTGAGGAAGTGTAAGTGTGTTTTTAATGTGGTTCATGAAAATAACGCAGCACACATTCAATCATCTTCAAACTGTTACATCACTAATTCATATCTCTGATGTCAGGAGTCATCATCAAAGTGTCAATCAATGAACAGATGATGGATCAATAACTGCAGCTGGATTGTGTTTGTTCTCTCTATCAGATTCCTGTCAACTCACAATCGACACAAACACAGTGAACACAAACCTGCAACTGTCTGACAACAACAGGAAGGTGACATATGTGGAGGGGGTTCAGTCATATCCTGATCATCCAGAAAGATTTGATGTTCATCCTCAGCTGCTGTGTAGAAATGGTCTGACTGGTCGCTGTTACTGGGAGGTCAAGTGGAGAGGAAGGGTTGATATATCAGTGAGTTACAAAGGAATCGAGGGAAAAGGAGACACTTATGACTGTAGGTTTGGACAGAATGATCAATCCTGGAGACTACGCTGCTCTAATGATGGTCCTCATTCTGTCTGTCACAATAAGAGAGAAACACCCATCTCCTCCTCCTCCTCCTCTGTCTCTAACAGAGTAGCAGTGTATGTGGACTGTCTTGCTGGTACTCTGTCCTTCTACAGAGTCTCCTCTGACACTCTGATCCACCTTCACACCTTCAAAACCACAATCACTGAAATGCTTTATCCTGGATTTTCGATCTGTTCTAGTTCCTCAGTGAGTCTGTGCTAAGTTGAGTGTAAAGAGTGAACTCCTGTTAGAGAACACTCTGACTCTTGAAGAGCTAATTCAGTCTGTACATGTTTGTCTCTTTCGCTCAAACTCATTTTCAGAGTCATAAATTCAATCAGTTTATGTTTTAAACTGTTAAATGATTCCTTGTAAACTTTAGCAATCATTTTTGCAAACTAATAAGTTGAAAATGCTTCAGCCATATAAGATGAATGTATTGGCTCAATAGTTTATAAAGCAACATTTAATGTCTGAAAAACATTGAGACTGTTAAAGACAGCAAACTGTGTCTTCGTAGTAAAGGGCCCAGTGCGCTCTCACTGCTGCTGTTTATTTCTAAGGTGACGGCTGCACATTGGAGCTGTGAAACTTTAAACTCCATTGAGACATTAAAACTTACTGTCCCACAGCCTGATAAAGGGGACGTGGAAATCGCTGCTGTTTGTGGCAGATCAAAGTGAAATAAATGTAATTGGTTGAACAGGTATTTGTGGTCTGTGCTTTGTGTTTCCAGCAGTGTGAAAGAGACTCAGCGGCAGATTAGAATCAAGTTATATAAACATTTCCACTTTCTCTATTGAAAGTAGAAACTAGAGAACAGGAGGGAGTCAGAGCTGAACATTTCTGCCTGTTTCACATTCTCCTTGAAAGTAGACTTTGTAAAAAAAATACCATCGAGAGCTATGACGAAACTGTCTCACGTAAAGACCACCCCAGAAAAGGAAGACCAAGAGTCACCTCTGCGGCTGAGGATAAATTCATCCAAGTCATCAGCCTCAGAAATTGCAGGTTAACAGCACCTCAGATTAGAGCCCAGATAAATGCCACACAGAGTTCCAGTAGCAGACACATCTTTACATCAACCGTTCATAGGAGTGTGTGTGTGAATCAGGCCTTTCTGGTCAAATAGCTGCTACAAAACCACAACTAAGGAAAAGCAAAATGCAGAAGAGATTTGTTTGCGCCAAGAAACACAAAAAATGGACATTAGACCAGTGGAAATCTGTGCTTCGGTCTGATGAAATCTTTGGTTCCACCTGACGTGTCTTTGTGTGATGCAGAAAAGGAGAACGGATGGTTTCTACATGCATGGTTCCCACCATGAAGCATGGAGGAGGTGTGATGGTGCTTTGCTGGTGATACCGTTGGGGATTTATTGTCACAGTCAGGCTGCGAAGCTGACTGTATAAATGTGAGGATCGGATCTGAAATGCAGACACGAAGGAACGAGAAGAAAACTTGAATATAACAAAATGCAAGCCGTTTAATATGACTGATAAGAAAGGTACAAGAACAAAAAGCATATACACTAGGAAGAAACTAACTAGAACCGAACTGGGAGAAAATAAATGTGAAACACAAAAGATGAAGAACAAAACCTTGAACGTGGCAAAAACCTGTACTTGGAAAACCCTGGAGACACAGAAGCATGGAAACATGACAAGAACAACAGACAACCTGACAATGAACGAACAGAAACACACAGACTAAATACACACAAGGGTGGTTAGGGGAAGTGGATACACATGGGGAAACAGCTGTCGTTATGACACTAATCTGACATAACGAGACAAAGTAAGCGACGCCAACTGCTCTGACATAGGACACAAACCTTCAAAATAAAACAGGAAACATGAGATGAAGACATGATAATACACACCTGACAACCTGAAATCAAAGACAAGAAATACATGAGACTAACCAGAAGATGTAAGTGAAACACAAATAGATTAAACTTGAGGCAACTAAATAATGAACCTAGAACTTAACATTATGTTCCAAATATAATAAAGAAGATCAGAAAACAAATGAAAATGCAGGGTCACAGACCCAGCCCCTGACATTTATTTTTTATAATTATTTTACTAGTGCAAAGCAGTAATCAAAGCAAAAGGCAGCTATTTTCAAGAATATAAAATATAAAACATTTTTTAAGTTATTTCACACTATTTTGTCCATCCATCCTCTCCTGCTTATCCTAGTCAGAAGATCTGGAGCCTAACCCAGCTGTCTTAGGGTGAGGGGCAGGTTGCCAGTCTGACACATAGACAGAAAACCATTCTTATTCATGTGAAAATATAGAACTACTAATTAACCTAACCCCACTAACTTTTTGACTCTTGGAAATGTGGGAGGAAGCAGGAATACCCAGAGAGAACATAGAAACCACACAGAAAGTCCCTGGCCTGATAGTGGAACTATGCTAATCAACATGCTTCTGTGCTGTCTTTAGTACATACGTGTCCATATGTGTTTATTTGTAGTTTTGATGCCTTCAGTAAGAATCTTCAATGTAAACGTCGTGGAAATAAAGAAAACAACATTAAATAAAAAAAGGTGAGTCCAAAACTTTTACAGGTATTATATACGACAGTAATGCTTCCAAAAAGATCACGTTTTTTTCATCACACTTTGGATCTGACTGTTTAAGTGAATGGAGAACCTTTATTGGTCTTCACAGTCTAGAGCTAAAAAAAATAATGACACATTCAGGTCATGTTATAGCCGTCAAACAGTGGGTTTTGGAGATTTTATGTTTTCCTTAACTCCCTGTACTTGCGGTGTTCCTCAGGGATCTATATTGGGGCCAATTTTATTCTGCGTTTACATGCTTGTTTCCATTCATACACCGATGACATTCAGATTTCTCTTCAACTGAAGAGAAGCTGTTCTGCTCCACTTTTACCTTTCCTTTAGTCTGTTGATGAAGTTAAAGTCTGGATGGCCTCTAACTTCCTTAAGGTTTATGAGAACAAAACCGAAGTGATGGTGTTTGAACCAAGTGTAATCCCAGCACATCTCATTTTAATCTACACAGTCTTGAGCCTTTTATTAAGTTGAATGGCAAAAATTTGTGGGCTATATTTGTGGGCTATATTTGACAGCAATTTCACCTTTGAAAAACAGATTAACTCAGATGCTTTTTCAAACCGAGGCTTTTATCCAAGGTGAAATCATTTTTATATTCTAAAAACTTTGAACAGGTGATACATGCTTCCATTACATCCCAGCTGGACTATTGTAACTCCGTATATGTTGGAGGTAGTCAGACCTACCTTGCAAGGCTGCAGTTGGTCCAAAGTGCTACAACTCGTTTTCTGACACGAAATAAAGATGTCAACTTAGTTCCCTGGTGCTTGCCTCTCTTTACTGGCTTCCTTTTTTCACATCCAAATTGATTTCAAAATTTTATTATTGACTTAAACAGCCCTGAATGGACAGGCTTTTGGGTCAGTATTTGACCTCTTGCAACCTTATCCACCCTCTAGATCTCTTAGATCAAATGATAATGATTCTTTGCTTTTAGCCATAGCAGGGTCTAGGCTGGTTTAAAGAGGTGATCAAGGATTTCAACCCCTTACTCATCAGGCTTCTACTGTCAATATTTTCAAATTTCATCTACAAAAAAACCATTTGCATTCACTGACTTTTTAATAGATTATGAGAGTTATTTGGTATTTGGTACTATTATTATAAATGATTTGGTATGAGTTATTTTGTATTTCCGTACAACACTTTGTTCAGTGTTGCTGTTGTAATTAAATGTGCTATATAAATAAAAATGATAACAATAACATTGGCTGTTTTCTTTTATAAGTGCATGTGTGCTCATTTGGAATAAAAGAAGCCACATTATAATGGTTGGATGCTGCTTTTTAATCATGTGTCATGTCATGATCACGTGTGCTATTCTCAAGCATGTGTTGTCTCATTGAGGAATGTATTTACTGATCTTTGGCTCTAAAACTGAAAAAAATCTACTATTAAACTAATAATTGCACACACATAGATTTAAAGATAAACCTTTTTCAGAGATGTGAAGATGCCCCGCCCACACACATATTAGCTGGACTCAGCCCCCACATTGTAGAGCTGGCAGAGAAAAGCCCTGTGGTTTAAAGCTCCTTTCAGTGCCTCTGAGAGTTAATGTGATAGAAACAGTGAATCCTGGTCTGCTTTAATCCAGCTGTTTCACACTGAACATCAGCTTGGATGAAAATGGAAGTTACTGTGGAGCCTTATTGAGGGGAGGCTTATGAAATGTGAAGAAACATGTTGTGGTGGGCAGGTGAAGCCTCATTAAGCTTGGAGGCTTTACTTCTATTTACACCCAAAAAGATTCAAAGCTTCGAGTCTTTGATCTTTGATCGACTTTGATTAATCAGTCATTTGGGGAATAATGTGGTACATTAGGAATGATTATTAACAGAATCAGGTGCAAGATTGATTTTTTTCACAGGTTTTTCATCCAAAATCATTTTGTCTCTCCTGTGGCAGCCTCAGTGGACTTCTCCTCTGGCTCAGCAGTCCAGCAGCTTTAGGAAATCTAATTTCACCTGGCACTGGTGATGCAGGAATAAACAGATATCTGCCAGTTTCCACACTGTTGGATTTGTTGGAAGTGTCTGATGTGCTGCCAAGTATTTGAGGGGGTCTACTGATCTTCCAAGTGTGGCTCTCTCATATACTTGTGACAGAAAGAAAGATGAAGCATCAGCTCAAACAGAAAAGTAGGATATAAAAAGGGGACATTCTCAGTGGTCAGTCTGCCCAGCAGCATCAAACACAGCTGGACTCCATATTTATGGTCTGCACATGTACAACAACTACTTTTGCATCTATTCTGTTCACAGTCATCTCCATGCTGCTCTTTGTAGACCAGTGGATTGTCAGTGTGTCCAACATGGATCTGATGTTTGGCTCCATGATTTCAGTCTGATTGGGTCATTCATAAAGTATTCTGTTCCAGCTGCTGGAGGACAACATCATCACTTTTCTGAAGAAAAAGCTGAAGAAGATCCAGAAGGTTCTTAGTCCAGATCACCCAGAATCCTTAGAGAGCCAGTGGGGAGATCATGGACCAAAGAGGAGCAGCAGAGAGGCAATTGTGAAGATCACACTAGACTTCCTGAGGAGAATGAAGCAGGAGGAGCTAGCTGACCATCAGTAGAACAGTAAGAGGATTTCTATATACAGTGGCTTGCAAAAGTATTCGGCCCTTTTGAACTTTCCCACATTTTGTCACATTACAGCCACAAACATGAATCAATTTTATTGGAATTCCGCCTGAAAGACCAATACAAAGTGGTGTACACGTGAGAAGTGGGACGGATATCATACATGATTCCAAAGTTTTTACAAATAAATAACTGCAAAGTGGGGTGTGTGTAATTATTCAGCCCCCTTTGGTCTGAGTGCAGTCAGTTGCCCATAGACATTGCCTGATGAGCGCTAATAACTAAATAGAGTGCACCTGTGTGTAATCTAATGTCAGTACAAATACAGCTGCTCTGTGACGCCTCAGAGGTTGTCTAAGAGAATATTGGGAGCAACAACACCACGAAGTCCAAAGAACACACCAGACAGGTCAGGGATAAAGTTACTGAGAAATTTAAAGCAGGCTTAGGCTACAAAAAGATTTCCCAAGCCTTGAACATCCCACAGAGCACTGTTCAAGCCATCATTCAGAAATGGAAGAAG